CTTGCAGCGTTATTTCAGTAGAAGAGGGAAAAATTGATCCATCTGATTCAGGAGGGCAAGAAGTCCACAAAGGCCACCAGTGACAGTGAGTTTTGATAAGAATCCACAGGTTGTGCCTTGGGCTGTGCAAAGCTTTTGCCTAGAGCAGCTTTGCTACTTGGAAAGACAAAACAGAGCTGGGAAATCTCAAAGCCCGGGTTTTAAAGAGCAGCACTGTGGAAGCTTTGCGTGCCGCAGAAGGGGCAGCATGGCGCAGGTGCGTTCAGTGACCTGCTTTGTTCAGGCAGTGAAAGATGTCGTGGAAACTGCAGCTCTCTTTTCCTTTGGTTCGAACAGCATTCCCTCTTGACCTGAAATTATCTTAATGGCAAGGGAGAGAAAAAACTCACGTTGGTTTTACTCTTTGATGTTTGTTGGAATCCCCTGCATGGAGGTTTTCCTGGTTAGCTCGGTGCTGTTCCTGGGAACTCTTCAAAACAAACAAAACCTTAGCAGTTTTGCAGCAGTTAACCTATCCAGCCAGCCTATTGAGACAGCAGGTGAAAAATATACTCTAAGGGGGCTCAGTTTAAGGAGGAGCTTGAGGTCTAGGCTTGCTCTGACAGACCCGCAGTGAAATACAAAGCTGGAGAGAAATGTGTCTGTGTGCACAAGAGGTGTAGGGGGCGTTCAGCCATGCGCACGCCAGGAACGTGCTGGGAAAGCAAGCAGAACTGTTTGGTTTTATAGTATAATTTGAATAATAATCAGTGACAAACAGATGTGGGGTCTGGGCTGATATGTTTTCCCAATAGTTTTTCAAGGCTGAAACCAGAGTTTTGGCTGAGGGCGATGGAAGCAGAAATGGATGTTTGAGCTACAGATCCCTGTGGCTGTTACCTCTCATGGTTGTCAGAGAGACCTTGAGTTGTGCCCTTGGATTTGGCTGTCAGGAAGCCCTGGTATCAGCTCTCTTTCTACCTGCTGCAGAGTAAGCACAGAGCTGGGTAAGTTGGTAGTTGTCAGCCCTTGGGGTTGCCTGGCCACCGGCAAGCTCCTTGCTCTTTGCTTCCCAGTGCAGCCAGGGCGTGGGACGGGCAGCGTGCAGGGCTGCTGCGGGACTTTTCGGGGTGAGGATGGGGAGGTGTTTCACTGGTCCTTCCCCAGCCAGGAGAAACGTGAGGCCCCCGGTGAAGCTGTAGGCTGTGCCTGTACAGCAGCGCTTCACCAGGAGGTTGCAGAGATGGACTGGTGGCTCCTGGGACCGCTTCAGGATGGGCATTTGAGCAGCTTGTAAAATCCCTCTCCTAGTGACTCGCAGCACTACACGGCAGCTGTCAAGGGACCAAGTGATGTGGGACAAGTGCCTTCACATGAAGTTTCTGTGACCTGTAAGGTGCCTTTGCCAATCAGCACCTGGGACCATGCACCTGAGTGCAGCAGATGCGTGTTTAAGTCGTGTTTGAGGAGCTTTCTGTCTCGCTCTGCCCTAAGCTTGGTAGAGAAAGCTGCTTGGAAATCTGGCAGGGAATATATTGCCATCTGGCTGGTGTTATTTTCTAACTCTAGATTTATTTTTTTCCCCCCAGTACTGCAGAAGGGGACAGCTTTGTGCACACAGACACGTTTCAGCCATGTTCTGCCCGGCAGGTATGCAGGCAGCCGATGGTGTGCGGTAAAGCAGCTCACTGCCGGGGCAGGCTGGAAGTCTGTCCCCGACTACTCCTGCTCCCAGGACCTGGGGTGTAGGCTGCTACCCTGTTCATTTTCACCAAAAGCTGCTGTGGCCCCACAGTGGGCGATGGGTCTCCAGGGTGGGCAGATGAGGCCGCTGAGCCCTGCGCAGGGTGAGCGGGCCTGAGCCAGTGATCTGTGGAGAGTGTGACCACGTGCAGCCATGCTGCCAGCTTTTCGGCAGAGAGCAGCTCCTCACCTGGCTCCTTTACACCTCTTTCCCCAGCTGACTTTTACAACCAACCTCATCACAGCGTGATGGGTTCTCCAGTGTCTTCCCAGCACTGTGGCTTTACCTCTAACAGCTGCTGTAAAAGCCTTTTCCTTTGCTTCTGGTGCTTTCTCATATGTTTCCTTCCAAATCCTGGCTGGAAAACTCCTTCTCCTTGTTCTTTCTCCCACGTTGCCTCATCCCTCTCTGCCGTGTGGGGTAGAGAAAGAGCAGAGGTCTCACATTAGTGATGTGCTGAGCAGCCTCACCCATCCAGCTGGGTCTCGCTGGAGTCCCTGCGCCGTTGTTTTGCAGGACTAATGATTACTCATGGATTTTGGTGCTTTATTGAGCTAGAGCTGGAGTGAAAAGAAAGCTGCTGTTCCAGAGAGCCTTGCGTTTCTCTAATCGTTCGGCTTACGTGCCTGTTGTGGAAGATCTTGTGCCTGTTTTTGCATTAAGCCCGTTTTTTGTCTTGGTAGTTCCCAAGCCCAGCCTTGGTGCCGCGGTTAAGAGTGGCTGGGACTTTGATCTGTTTGTCAATGAGGCCTCTGAATCCATAGTCTGATGTGGTTTCTCCTTGTCCCCAAGTTGTCCTGCTGCAGCTGGACGTGATGGCTATGAGGCTGAAAGTGTCTGTAGGCATGAATGATGTGAACAGCTCGTCTACGCGAAGGTAGCCAAGCCCTGGCCAGCCCACACCGTGCTGTACGCAGGAAAGGAGATTGCGTGTGCCTGTGCCCACCAGGCCCTCTGTGTCGCGTACTCGTTCTCTGGGAAGGAGCGCGGCTGGCGTCGCTTTTCCTTCATGCCCATGGCAGCCCTTGCTGCTGGTGCTTGCCCAGGGCTGGGGCTGCGGTTCGGTGGGGTCCAGCTGATGCCCCAGGCAGGGCCTGTGGGTGCTCCTCGGTCTCTGCTTCCATCTGCTGGGCAAGCTCCGGCTCCTGCCCGCCCGCTTTCCTGGGGTGCCACTGGGATTTTGCTGGCTCCTTTCAAACTGTGCTCGTGTAACACTACAGATGGAAATCCCTTTAACACAAGTATGGGCTGCAAGAAAATTTCAGTGTTGAACCAACTCTCTTTGGCAAGACTTCTGTGCTAGCCTGAATGGCAACGAGCCTGGAGATGGGCTAAGCACGGTGTGTTTGGTGCAGCGATGTGTAGCGTCCTGCCATGCAGGCAGCCTGTGTGCTGAAGCCAAAGCTCTGCTGGTTTACATTCACAAGAAAGTCAAGTATGAATGGATGTTGCTTGGATGCCACGTGAATGGCCAGTGTGGGTCAGGCCAGAAGTCCAGCCGTTGTGGTGCCTGCTCCAAAAGTGACCAGCAGGTGCTAGAGGAGAGCATGTAAAAAAACACTGGGTGGGGAGGACGTGGTGCTTTCCTTGGATATCTCCCTCGGCATCAGACGGTCAGGGATGTGGGGACGTCTTGGGCTGGGGACTGCAGTGAGACCTTCATGTCTGAGTTTCGGTAAATGTGTCCTTCGTGAGCTTGTCTGAGTCACTTGGGTTTTGAACTCTGTAGCATCTTGAGACAGTGAGTTTGTACTGTGCAAAAAGATCCCGCTTTTATTTGTTTGAAACCTGTTGCCAGCAGCTTTCTCTGCTAGATGCTGGGTGCACCTGAAGCAGGCCTAAGAATTACTTGTACTGTATGACTGTTTTTCTCTGGAGCATCTCTCCTGTGGGGAGAGGCTGAGGGAGCTGGGCTTGTTCAGCCTGGAGAAGAGAAGGCTGCGAGGGGACCTTGTAAATACTTATAAATATCTGCAGGGTGGGTGTCAGGAGGACGGGGCCAGACTCTTTCCAGTGGTGCCCAGCGACAGGACAAGGGGCAACGGGCACAAACTGAAGCAGAGGAAGTTCCAGCTGAACCCGAGGAA